ATTATATGGACACCAGAGGAACAGATCACCAAGAAGAAAAAGAAAACAATTTGATCTAACAACTTTTAGTCAACATTGACAACTCAAATTAATTCAATTTTGTTTTGAAAAAAGTATAATATAGAGATACACAATAATTTTGAAAACRGGACAAASTGAAGTTCAAGTCAACTTTTYMAGAAGAAAAATATTTAGTCTCTTCCCCCGTSCAAACCTATGATTCCATAGTGTTATGGTCTATTGACTATGTGATCAACTTGAAAGTATTTCCACCAAATACATTGATGAAAACATTTTTCAGAGGGAMATTGCAGTACTTGTAGATCAAAGAAGCTGCAAACAATTTGGGTACCAARACAATGACACTAACTATAKAATGTAACTTCAATGATCGCAAGTACTCTTATGTCAGTGACCTTTAAAGCCTTCTTGTATGGCAAAGATGACAATGTTTCCTCAACTTGTCATATATTACATACTATTTGATATCTTATTACAGCGTCAACTTGACTATTAACATCTCATGTATATGTCTGCAACATCCCTCAACAGTGATGAGAGAGTCATTATGAAAGGATCTTGTATGACTGGATTAAGAACTGTTTTATAGTTTTAACTAGTTTCTWGATAGAGCAGAGTCACATGAACCATGAAATAAAAACTAAAAAGTACTAACTAATAGGTACTATTAGTTCCTAATAGTCATTAGCACTGAACCYGAACASTTTATTTGAWCCAATAAGCAATACCCAAGAGAKCACTWTAACAATCAAAGTAATCTCTTTGTACTGTTCTGGTTCAGTGATAGTGTCTAAATAGTGCCTATTAGTTACTAAATATTTAGTTTCTATTTCATGGTTCAAGTGACTCTGCTCTATTTTGCAAATTTTGCCAGAGGTGGAGTGGCAAAGAATGTACAATATAAATACCATGATTGCATGATARAGCAMGTGTGGCTTGCATGATAWACAGGGTGTCTTGCATGATATAAAGGGTGTGGCTTTTGGTGACTGGCTAAATGTTTTCACTTGATCCCATTCAAGGAATTTGATTTCATAATTCACACCTATGTCAATACATGGCTAGAGGCATTAAACCTGAGAAAAAAAATCAAACATTGGGCCATAGGCCGAAAAGGTCCAGCCTCAATCATTTTAAAATACAATTTCAATAGACTTTTAGATGCTTTTTTCACGCATTTGACCTGAGTAATTAAGTCATAAGTTGACTATGTACAGTCTTTTAACATTATAGCCCTTGAAACACAACTCCCACCCCCCTATCTTTAGGGCTATCACATCGCAGAAACGCTAACTCTTATAAGAAACGGGTTTCGGACTGATTTTCACCAGTGATTCAACAATCATCAACTCTTCCATTCAAATTTGATGAAATCTTGAAAAAGTCTATAACTATTGGTTGGAATTCAAAAGGTCCTTCATTGAAGAAGACACGAGAAATCGTGGATAGCAGTCCAGGAACATCACGTAATAAACATGTTGCTGTGCTTTGTTGAATGTATTCTGTGTTGGTTCGACAATCTCATGGTCTATCACTTGTCTTGTCTTGTGATCAATGCTCACCTAAACAAACATACAGCATATATTCATTCAGTCGCGCTAAAATGATGACTTTCGTATGGACAAAAGACCATCGTCCGAAATTATAGTATGTTTCCTCTGGTTTTATCGCAATTGAGCTACGTTTACGTGCCTGTTTACCCTGGTATCCAGAGGGGCTTGTCGTCTTTCTGGAATTAAAACGAGTCTCGAACGAGTCGTGAAACGGCGAGAATTTGAGTCTCGTTTTAAGCCATGGCTACAAGAACGATTTTTCGCTTGCGCAGGCGACGCGATTTTCTTAAAATCACCAGCGCACGATGTGGCTACACGAGCGACAAATCCTCAAATACTTATTTGAATCTCCATAAAAAAGTATATGTACTAAAACAGCTCAAATCCGATGTTCAGCTTTCATCTTACCCGAAAATCGCGTCGCCTGCGCAAGCAAAAATCGCTCGTGTAGCCGCGGCTTTAGTCCCAGAAGGACGGCAAGCCCCTTGTGTACCAGGGTAGTGCCTGTTGTGCTTTCGCGGCCAGTGTAGTCTACGTCACAGCAAAGTTTCTTGTAGTGCTGCATTTTAAAACGTTTTAAAGTTAAAACGGAAAAAAAAGGAAACCAACTTTGGCATGTGAAACCGACCAAACTTTTTTTTCAATCAGTAAGGAGAAATGAAGAAAATATACGAATGTAGAACTGATCTTAAGTGAGTGGCGGGGTGTCCTAATGTGTCGCTAGTTTTCACCATTTTGTCCCAGTGTGCCGTTTGCTGTTGCTGGCAGTGCCGTTCTTCGACTGGTTGCTGTTTTTGGCTGCTGTTGTCAGTTAATAGTCGAGTAAAAAAATATTCTTATCTATGACCATCTATCGATGGTTTTACCTCTTTCGGTGACTCTGTCGATACGTAGTCGTTATATATCATCTGTGCTATGTTTTTGATGTTTGCTGGATCTGTCTCCTTCTTAAGCTTTTCTACCGCTAACCAAAATAACAGATTCTCTTCAGCGTATTCACTCTTTAAAAAATCGTGGAAAAGCTTGATACCAGCTGTATAAGAGACCAAAGCAGAGAGCATTATTGAATGAGTGCATGCACCAAGCTGGCGTACGTCGTTTCTACCGAGCTAAGTATACCATGCCTGTTTCACTATATGTTGAACTTAAAAATCGTGTGAGGTTTTTCTGATACTTTTTTTATTTGCGAAGTTATTTCCATTTGAATTTAAAATTACGAATTCTTGATGTGAAATTTGATATTTGACGCCATAACTTTAAAACGAAAATCTAAATCCAAAAACGCTCACACGGTTTTTTACCTAACTTTGATTGAAAAAGGCGAGGTTTAAATGCAAACTTTTTGCGAAACAGCGTCTCAAAGCCAAAATCCTGACTTAAGCTTAATAATTTTTAAGAAGTAATCTATTAACGGTNTATTTGATCCAATAAGCAATACCCAAGAGAACACTATAACAATCAAAGTAATCTCTTTGTACTGTTCTGGTTCAGTGATAGTGTCTAAATAGTGCCTATTAGTTACTAAATATTTAGTTTCTATTTCATGGTTCAAGTGACTCTGCTCTATTTTGCAAATTTTGCCAGAGGTGGAGTGGCAAAGAATGTACAATATAAATACCATGATTGCATGATARAGCAMGTGTGGCTTGCATGATAWACAGGGTGTCTTGCATGATATAAAGGGTGTGGCTTTTGGTGACTGGCTAAATGTTTTCACTTGATCCCATTCAAGGAATTTGATTTCATAATTCACACCTATGTCAATTAATACATGGCTAGAGGCATTAAACCTGAGAAAAAAAATCAAACATTGGGCCATAGGCCGAAAAGGTCCAGCCTCAATCATTTTAAAATACAATTTCAATAGACTTTTAGATGCTTTTTTCACGCATTTGACCTGAGTAATTAAGTCATAAGTTGACTATGTACAGTCTTTTAACATTATAGCCCTTGAAACACAACTCCCACCCCCCTATCTTTAGGGCTATCACATCGCAGAAACGCTAACTCTTATAAGAAACGGGTTTCGGACTGATTTTCACCAGTGATTCAACAATCATCAACTCTTCCATTCAAATTTGATGAAATCTTGAAAAAGTCTATAACTATTGGTTGGAATTCAAAAGGTCCTTCATTGAAGAAGACACGAGAAATCGTGGATAGCAGTCCAGGAACATCACGTAATAAACATGTTGCTGTGCTTTGTTGAATGTATTCTGTGTTGGTTCGACAATCTCATGGTCTATCACTTGTCTTGTCTTGTGATCAATGCTCACCTAAACAAACATACAGCATATATTCATTCAGTCGCGCTAAAATGATGACTTTCGTATGGACAAAAGACCATCGTCCGAAATTATAGTATGTTTCCTCTGGTTTTATCGCAATTGAGCTACGTTTACGTGCCTGTTTACCCTGGTATCCAGAGGGGCTTGTCGTCTTTCTGGAATTAAAACGAGTCTCGAACGAGTCGTGAAACGGCGAGAATTTGAGTCTCGTTTTAAGCCATGGCTACAAGAACGATTTTTCGCTTGCGCAGGCGACGCGATTTTCTTAAAATCACCAGCGCACGATGTGGCTACACGAGCGACAAATCCTCAAATACTTATTTGAATCTCCATAAAAAAGTATATGTACTAAAACAGCTCAAATCCGATGTTCAGCTTTCATCTTACCCGAAAATCGCGTCGCCTGCGCAAGCAAAAATCGCTCGTGTAGCCGCGGCTTTAGTCCCAGAAGGACGGCAAGCCCCTTGTGTACCAGGGTAGTGCCTGTTGTGCTTTCGCGGCCAGTGTAGTCTACGTCACAGCAAAGTTTCTTGTAGTGCTGCATTTTAAAACGTTTTAAAGTTAAAACGGAAAAAAAAGGAAACCAACTTTGGCATGTGAAACCGACCAAACTTTTTTTTCAATCAGTAAGGAGAAATGAAGAAAATATACGAATGTAGAACTGATCTTAAGTGAGTGGCGGGGTGTCCTAATGTGTCGCTAGTTTTCACCATTTTGTCCCAGTGTGCCGTTTGCTGTTGCTGGCAGTGCCGTTCTTCGACTGGTTGCTGTTTTTGGCTGCTGTTGTCAGTTAATAGTCGAGTAAAAAAATATTCTTATCTATGACCATCTATCGATGGTTTTACCTCTTTCGGTGACTCTGTCGATACGTAGTCGTTATATATCATCTGTGCTATGTTTTTGATGTTTGCTGGATCTGTCTCCTTCTTAAGCTTTTCTACCGCTAACCAAAATAACAGATTCTCTTCAGCGTATTCACTCTTTAAAAAATCGTGGAAAAGCTTGATACCAGCTGTATAAGAGACCAAAGCAGAGAGCATTATTGAATGAGTGCATGCACCAAGCTGGCGTACGTCGTTTCTACCGAGCTAAGTATACCATGCCTGTTTCACTATATGTTGAACTTAAAAATCGTGTGAGGTTTTTCTGATACTTTTTTTATTTGCGAAGTTATTTCCATTTGAATTTAAAATTACGAATTCTTGATGTGAAATTTGATATTTGACGCCATAACTTTAAAACGAAAATCTAAATCCAAAAACGCTCACACGGTTTTTTACCTAACTTTGATTGAAAAAGGCGAGGTTTAAATGCAAACTTTTTGCGAAACAGCGTCTCAAAGCCAAAATCCTGACTTAAGCTTAATAATTTTTAAGAAGTAATCTATTAACGGTATTGCTAAAGCAACTTCATAGACTTAATCTTCAGTCATACAGCTTTTAAATATTATATATAATGTGCTATGCTTCTTATCGTCACTGGAAAAAATCGCGCGCTTTAAAGGTTGTAAATTTGATGTATATATGATGTAAGTGTCCAAAATGATGTAAATTTGATGCCTAAATCATTTCCATCAAATTTACATCATTTTGGACAATTACATCATATTTCCATCAAATTTACAACCTTTATGGCGCGCGATTTTTTCCAGTCCGTACGAGACGCTAAATAATTTTTTAAACATGATAATTTGAAAACTCTAGCGAAGGGGAGCAGTAACCTTAATAAAACATGTTTCGAGGCCTCATTATTATGAATAACCCTGGAAATACAAATATGATGCCGGGTTTTAGGCCCACAAGCCACGAGCTTTCGCGCTCAGTTGGCAATTGGGTTATCCCGCCGATACCACAAAGAACATGAACTATCATGATAGCTGCAGTTGCTACAATTCCAGCAACTCTTACATTTGTTAGTTAGAAGCTTTTCAAATGATTTGGTCCATTCTAAGGCTTCTTCCATACTTGGTCTGAAATGAAGTATGAATAATATTATTCAGTAATAATATTTTATTAGTTTACACAATAAATGTATTCAAACTTTCGAAAACCKACTCACTTTATGAATATCATCAAAATGTATTATATTTTGTCGCTACTAAAAGAGCCGGCATGCAAATTTCTATTGCGCCCGCAGAAATTGACGGAGTATTTTAAAGTCAGACATAAGACTAAGGAGACGCGTTTACATAAGAAGGTTGCCCAAACTACTAGTCATGCGGCACTAGGTCTTTTGCTTTCACACTATAAAATCAAAGGCGATAGATATCCCTACAACCTCTGTTCGCAGACTAACTCTTTTGGTATCAGTTACGGAATAACGATATAATATACCTTGACTAACAGGCTTTATTTTTTAAAAATTCAACAGATATGAGTTAACTCGCTGTCTGATTGGCTWGGATATACTTGGATATCAGCTCATATCCAGTGAGAAAACAAGCATGCAAAATAGAGTATGCGGGCCGGGATTATGTTTCTAGATTTCGCTTGAAAGTAAGAGTGTAGCTCTGTACTTTTTTCTCCAGATTCATTTGTTACGGTAGAATATAGAAACATCAAGAATGGCCAAGTCGTATCAGTTAACAGTGATGAGTGGTAGATTTAATAACCGCCGTACGCTGCCGTCGAATTTTGATCTATTCGCATAGGAAAAAAGAATCGGTTTGAGATAAAAAATAGAATAAAGTATAAAATATATTTTTTCTACAGCATCATAAAAAGGTATATCTGACAATATTGTATAAAAAAAGAAGATCAATTCAACACCGAAAAAAGTAGGTGACACAACTTACTGACGTTTCGGACGTTAAT